GGGGCGGGCCCAGGATCTGGATGGGTGATTCAAGTTGAATCATGGCCCAGCTGCTTCTGGGCAGCCCCCTCCCCCATTCTGCCCAGAGAGCCTATTTGGAAGGCAGAGTTGAGCCTTGGGGAGGAATGGGAAATTAGCAGCGGATAGTAGGGAACGGAGCTCTTGAGAAGGAGGAATCAGGCCCAAGAAGGTCTCTGTGCTCCCCCCTGCTACTCCTCAACACTCTCCAGGTGCTCTCAGGCAACCCCCACCCAAACTCCTCATTCTGCCTGGATCCAGGCTCCTTCTCTAATCCCAGGGCCCATGTTAGCCCCCTGCCTCTTGCCACTAACAACAATTTTTTTTTTTTGACATAGGGTCTCAATCTGTTGCCCAGGCTGGAGTGCAGTGACACAATGAATCATAGGTCACTGCAGCCTTGAACTGCGCTCCAGTGATCCTCTCACTTCAGCCTCCAGTAGCTGGGATTACCGGCACACACCACCAAGCCAAGTTTTTTTAGAGACAGGATCTCACTATGTTGCCCAGGCTGGTCTTGAACTCCTGGCATCAGGTGATTCTCCTGCCTAGGCCTCCCAAAGTGCTGGGATTACAGGCATGAACCACACTTGGCTAACAGCATTAACTATTATAGTTGATCACTCAAAGTTTTATACCACTCAACAGTTTAGAAAGCATTTTCTCATCAGTATTGCATTTCATTATCCTCCTAGTCCTGTGGGATGGAAATTAGCATCCTTATTCTGGAGCTGAGGAAACTAAGGCTCTGAGCGGTTATGTGCACTGTCCAGTGCCACACAGTTGGTGAGATGACAGAGCCAGGAAGTAAGCTCAAGCCTCCTGGTCCAATCTGTGGAATTACACAAGTTGCAGGTTGGCACAGTAGGAACCAGGTGGGAGGCATATGGGGGCCATGGTGGGGCTACAGTGGAGTGACATGGTTAGGGGTATGGAGTGGCAATGGTGGATGCATTAAGGGAGCATGGTAGGTTGTGTGGCAGAAGGCATGGCAGAGACATGACTAGTGGCTTAGTGTGTGGCAGGATCGTCACAAAATTTTTCTTTCCACTTCTGTAATTAATGGATTATGGAATTATTTATGCCTTCGAGTCTTCTTTTCAGTGTTTCGGGCCAATATTCCAAGGCTACCAAATCCAGAGTATGGAGATTCTGCTGAGAAGGCTTTGGTTGTGGGTCATTTCCTTCCTGAAGCCTCACTTTCATCATCTGAAAAAAATGGATCCAGGCCTTGAGCTGGTCAGGCTATTGAGAGGCACACTTGAAATCATGTTCATCATGCCCTTTAAAGCCATGAAGGACTTCACCAAAGGCTCCACTTGTCATATTTTGTTTTCTCAAAGAGAAATTGGGTGCTGGGCAGAAGGTAGGGTGGGCTTCTGGGAGCCCAGGGGTGGCGATGAGGGGGATGCATGGCTGACAGCTCGCCTTTTCCCCCTGCCTGGGCCCAGCCTGGTCTTCCCCCACCCTCAGCCCAGAGCTGGTTTCTAAGCAACAGGATGGATGCAGGGATGGTTCGAAGGGGAGAGAGCTATAAATAGGAAAGGGAGAAAACAAAAATAAAGTTCCAGAGAAGCCGTGGAGCTGCATTACTAGAGGGTGAGGGAGAAGAATGGGGAGAGATGGGCAAAATGGTGAGGACATGGGGATAGCCCCCAGACCTTCCTCAGGGGGACAGGGCAGTTTTCAGGTTAGGCACCCAGCAAGGGCCCTCAGGGAGCCACCAAGGGTAGAAAGGAATCTCTGTGTGCACAGCTCAGTGAGATGGGGGTGATGAGGAAAAATCACTGCTTGTCAGAAGACGAGGGAAAGCTTCAAAAGGGGAAGGATTTCAACAGGCTGAGTTGAGAGCAGCTGCCCAGATGGAGGAAAGAGTGCAGGCAAAAGAAGAGAAAGTATGTGTCAGGAGAGGTGGCCTGGTCAGGCTCAGCCTTGATGCCCACCCCAGAGTACAGGCAGGCTCCTTTTCCATCCATAGCATGCCCTCCCTCAGATCCTCCCCTGTCCACTCTACTCATTCAAGCTTCAGCCCCACTGCCTCAGACATGACCTGGCCACCCTATTTTAACATTGCTCACCACCACCTCTCTGTCACAGTCTATCACATCACTCTGTTTAACATTCTTCATAAAATTCAAAATTATCTTGTCCCCTGTATTTATTGACCATTTTCTGATGGCTGGAAGGTGAGTTATTTCAGAGCAGTGACCTGCAGGGTGTTCCCTGCAGCCCCTCACTTCTAAGAATAGAGCAGGTGTGCAAGGTACACTGTTGGATGACTAAATGAACACATATAACATGCATGGAGAACATTCATGTACATTTGTGAACACAGATGCAGATTCGGCATGCCTGCATGTCCATACCCCATATGTAAATGTGCACACACAGCTCAAACCCACATGCACACACAATCTTGTTCCCAGTCTCCATGACATTGCACAAGTGTCTGTAAACTCCTCACTGTTGCTTCCACATTTTCTTGTTGTCTACAGTTTTTGTCTCCCTTTAGAGACAGAGTAAGACCCTTTTGGAAATTCCAAAGGAGTTAGGCTTTGTAGTTAGGCTTGGGGCTGAATGTAGCCTTTGCCACTTCCCAGCAATGTGACCTAGGAAAAGTGACTGCCTCTATGGCCTTCATTCCCTTATTGGTAACTTGAGGCTAATAATTGCCCTCATGGGAGTTTCAAGTAAAATTACTGGAGATAAATGTTGCATGCTTGGGATATACTAGGAGCTTGGGAAATGCCTTGGTTTTTGTCACAAGGGAATGGCTCATGAGCTGTGTGGGCCCACACACTCCCAGAGTCAGGGCTGCCATCTGATACAGGGCTGGCATCTTCTGCTGACATTTCTGGGCCAGTGCCTAGAATACATTTAAAGTGACCCTGGCAGATGATAACACTGGTCTTGGAGCAGATGAGAACACTGGTCTTGGGTCTTGGCCCCATTCTCAGTGGGGCCAGGTGTGGAGCTTGGCATCCAGTAAGGAAGAATAAATCTCCCTACAGGCCAGATGATGAACCTGATTTTGCCATTTAAAAGTGGAGATCAAGTGATGGTAGCTGGATAGAAGGTTGCAAACTCAGTTTTTGGGTGCCAGGCAGTTCATTAAAAAGAAAGAAGTGGATGGGGAAAAAAGGGAGGGAAAAGACCTTGGCCAACTGGAAAAAGTATGCCTAACCAAAAGTTATTCAAATTTAAATAATTTCAAAATATGTGCTAGCAAATTAAATATACTTACAGGCCAAATGCAGCCTGAGGGCCAGGAGTTTGCAATCCCTGCAGATTGTGAGTTGGAGCTCCTGGCATCTTCACATAAGTGAGTCAAAGAATTCAACCAAGTCCACCGGTTTGTTCTCCCTATGCACACGTCTGCCAGCTGTCTCCTACGTTGGGAAATGAAGGCCTCTACATTGCAGGCCAAGGTGACCTGAGCCGAAAAGTCTCCAGTAGTGTTCAAGGACTTCCCAGGCTTGACATCACCTCTTGCCCCCAACAACTCAGGGAAGGGGTTGGTGCTAACACTGAGGAGCTAACTAAATAGAGTAAGTTTCTTTCAGCTTTGAGGTTGGAGGATGAGACGGGGCTTCGGCCCGGAATCGAGGAAGACCCGAGGCATAGAAGCCCGCGGAGTCTCGCGCAGGCGAGGTTAGGGACCTCTGCGGCAAAGCTAAGGGGGCGTGGCCTCTGCCGCAAGAAAGCGTGGGCGCTGCAGCCCGCGCATTGGTGAGGGCGGGGGCTCATGCAGGGAGCTTCTGTACCAATTAAGGCGGCGCTTTCGCATGAGGGGCGGGGCTTCTGTGCAGAGCCCGCCGCTTCTAGGTCCCCCTCTTAGGCGATCTTAGGCGGTGTTGAGGGCCCCCTAGTGCTGATCCTGATGGGCTCAAAGTTTCTGTACCGGTTCCGCTGACCCTCGCCTACCTCAACGGATGCCTCAAACTTTCGGGCGCCTTTGGGGAGGAGGTATGGAGAATGGGGGAAATTGAGAAAGCATCGAATGTCAAAGCTTCTCTCTATTTTGGGACAACTGCCCATTTCCCCTCCCGTTAGTTTTTTCTGAGTTGGGCAGGTGTGCAGGGGTGGCTGTGTGTGTAAACGTTGTGGAAAGGACAGATCTCTCAGCGCCCGCGCTGCTGGTTTCCAAGGACTTTTCCTCGGCACATGTGTAAATGAAAACGAGTGGAGTTCTGCACGTGTTGGCCAGCGTGTGTGCACGCGCGCCTGCATGTACACGCCGACCAAGGTGGGTGCTACGGAGTTCGTTCTCGTGCTGAGTACCCACACGCCTGCGCTGCGCGTGCCGCGGTGTGAGCGGATGAAACCCAGAGCTGTGGCGGCGCGGAGCTTCTTTGGACCCTGCACTCCCGGCAGGCACTCTACGGCCCAGCAGGTGGCGCCCGAGGCCACCTTCCCGCCTCCCAGTCAACTGCTTGTCCCAACCCTGGGGGAACCCTCCCAGTCGTCTGTCATCCAGGGGGATGGTAGGAGATGGAGAAGTGGAGGCCCGAGTCTTGTACCTGGTCTGAATGTAAGGTGGACTCGGACCTGCAAGACCAGCCGCCTCCGAGTGCCGCCGCCACTGGCGCCCAGCCCAGCCCGTGCGGCTCTGGCTACAGACAGATTGGCTTTATTCATGGACACGCGGGGGGCGGCCGAGCCCTCCCGCCCGGGACACGCTCACACTGGGGTGTGGGGGACTCTTCATGCCACAATCACAACACACGACGCCCGCGCTCCGACCGGGCTGGCTGAGGGAAGGGGGTATGGCACAGCCTGGCTCCTGGTTTTGGTTAAAACAAACAAAAAAAAGAGGCTCTTGGTGTCAATGTGGAGTGGGGTGGGTGCTGTGCTCCGGGGCAGCCGGAGGACCCCTGGGAGAGCTTTCTGTCGTAGTGGGGGAGGAGCCTTTGCTTTTCGATCTTCTTTTAAAAACACATAGAACATGCTACATCCGCGCAGACACTGGACTGGATGGGGCAAGCCGCGGCTGCAGCCCTAGTCCTATTCACGCCCCAGGGTTGGACGCGGGCGGGTGAGACAGACAGATGAACAAACACTAACACAGGCTCCGAGGGGTCGCCTCAGAGCAGAAGGAAGATCTCGTGTTTGGGGGAAAGGGATAGAAGGACAGCCCTGGCTCTGGGGGATGGGGCAGGGACAGGGGGGTAGTTGTGCTGCTGGTGGGGGGCCGTCCTGGGCCCTTATGCCTCTGGCTCATACTCCTGATATTCCTCCTGCATCAGAGGGATGGGGTGGAGTAGAGAAGAGCAAAAGGGAGGTGTGTTGGAGACCATGTGGCCAAGTTCTGGGCCCAAGAGCCCTCCCCCTCAAGAAAGAATAGTGCAGCTCATGCCTCTCCCCTTGGGCAGCAGAAGTACCCGGAAGTTGGGGTCAATTTAGGTCTTACTGGGCACCCGTGTCTGGGGCCCAGCACTAGGCCCCATCTGTCATCCCCTCTCTGCTCCCACCTCCTAGGGCTTGGTTTAAAATAGGGAGACTGAAGGTCCCTGGCCTAACGTTATGATGCCAGAGGCCTCCCATGCCAGCCAGGGACAGCAGCAACCTTCCCAGATGCCCAAAGCCTCACCCAGCCCTACTGCCTCCTCACCTGGGGTGTTTCCTCATAACTTTCCCCTTCTGGCTCCATCAGGGGCTCAATCAGTGGCTCCTCAGCAGCTTCCTGGGCCACTTCCTCTGGCTGTGGGCAGAGAAAGGCAGGACTGGTGAGGGCAACCAGGATGCCCCCCAAATTCCCATGCTTGTAAGCTTTTGGCTGATTAGAAGAGTGGGGAAGGGTAGGGTAGGCTGGCAGTGCAAGAATTTTTAATTAGTTTTATTTGGAGTGCCTTGGAAGTGGGATGGAGGTGTGAAGGATGAAGCCCCTCCCCCATCAGTTGAGGGTGTGGAAGGGAGCTGGGCTCTCCATACCTTCCATCTCCCCACTCCTTGTACCTGGCAGCCTTCTGCAATTCCACCATTTGGACTGATGGGTTGGAGGGGAACAGATAGCACTTTCAGCCACCTATTTATCCCTCACTCCTTTGTGTCACACTCTGTGCTAGGCATTGTGACCCTAGAGATGGCTCTGGGGGCTCCCCTGGGCTGGAGGGAGATGGAGGCTCAGGGAGAGGGCTGGGCAGGATACTGAGCCATTCCCCTGCCACCTACCACCCATCCCTCCCCCAGGGCCCTGTGTGGCCTGGTTTCTTCAGCTGTTGCTATTTTAAGATAAGCTGGAAGCAACAGCTCATGGTGTTGCTTGGATGTGTGAGCTAAGACTCTCCCCTCCCCCTTACATCTGCTGCCCAGACAGGCACAGACCAGTGGGCATGTATGGGGGAGGGGGAGAGCTGCCAGACACATGGCCAGCCATTGCAGGCAAACACATGTATGTGCATAAACACGGGACTGAGCTGCCTGCACATAAGGTAGCCTGGGGTACCTGCATGGCTATACAAAGCCTGGTGTGGGCTGGCACAAGCTTGGGCTCCTGGAGGGCTGGCACTGACCACATCTGCACTCTGGTTGCCTCAACCCCATCCAGGCAGCTTCAGCTCCTTCATGTACCTGTCTAGGTGGGCTCAGTAGGCATGTGAATTTGAAGCTCCTGACCTGGCTTATTTCCCCCATTGTACAGATAGGTCTGACAAGGCCCAGGAGGTAGGGAAAAGTTAAATTTGTTCCCAAGTCTCCTAGCTTCGCCCCAGGGAAGAAACTTAGTGTTAAAAAGGCCAGCAAAATCCCAGCCTGAGCACATTGTTTAGAAACAACACAAATGTCCAACACTGTGGGGTAATCACACAGTACTACCCAAGAACGAAGAATGACAATACATACAAGAATACAACTTACTGCTGAAAGAACAAAGCTAGGTACAGAAGAAGCATGTACTTTATGATAACATTTACATGAAGTTGAAAAATACTCAACTAATTAGTAGTGACAGAAGTCGGGAAGCAGCTCACCTTGGAGGAGGCAAATGTTAAGGAGGAACTTACTCTGGAAACCATGCAAATGAGACCCCCACAAGTGAGTCCCCAGACACCTCCTTTGTCTCACCCTAGTCCTGGCCCTAGGGGTAGGATTTCTATTGTGAACTGGCTGCTGATCATATAGGTGAGTTCTCTTTGTGAAAATGTCCTGGAGCTGTAGGTTTTCTGCTTGTATATTGTACTTCAGTAAAAAGTTCACTTAAAAAAAATTCCAGCCTTGGTACTCACTAGCTAGCTGGCAAGTCATTTCACCTCTAATCTCAGCAGCCTCTGATGGGAAACAAGGATAGCCCTCTGCTTTGTGGGAGTATGGTAAGGATTCCACGATGATGGATGGAAAATAAGCTGGAAGGGAGAGACTCTCAGAAATGCTGACCGTGGACTTACATGGGCTCCCCCATATCCCAGGGCCTCAAAGGGCTGTTGTTTGGATTATAACTCTATGATCTTGAGCTCCCTTGAGAGAGCAGCCTTGAGATGTCAACAAGTACTGGTAGGAGGAAGGCAGCTAGAGAGAAATTATTCTGAGCAAAGGCCCATCACAGACAGCCTCAAGGCCAACATGTCAGGCTGGACCTATCTCTCTCTCTACGCCACTTTCCAGCACAAGGCCTGCCCCTGTGTAAGCACAAAATGACTCCCAGGACATAGACCTGAGCTTATCCTCCCAACCACCTTATAAGGCAGGCAGGACCTGGGATCTTGAGCATGTCACTTCACTTCTTTCAGCCTCACTTTCTTCATCTATAAAATGGGCTAGTTATTGTGCCTGGCTCACAGAGACATTGTGAAGAGTCAGTGAAATGTAAAATGTCCATGTAAAATGTCTAGGACAGTGCCTACTCACACAAGAGATCAATGGGAACAATTACTGGTAATATGATTGTAAAAAATGGGAATCATACTAGTGGTAAAATGCAGAGGCCAGACTTGAACTAGAACTTCTAAGTCAAGACCTAGACTTCTGACAACTGTGCAAAATGTCTGGAGTAGAGGGTGGTAAGGGGTCTCCCACAACCTGATGGATACACTCATGTTGAATGCACACTGATCACCTAAACCAAATGTTGGAATATGAGCCCCCATTCCTATGCAAGCAGAGTCTGCATGTGTTGGTGGACAGGCATGGAGCACACAGGAGAGGAACACTTGTACACACATATATATATATTATAGGTTCACAGAGCACACTGTCATGATGGCATGCTCCACACACACCCATGGTCACATGATTCCCTACATGGCTATCTTACTGGGCAAGTCACTGTACACAAGCCAGGCTCTTTATATCAGAGGTTCTCAAAGTAAGTTCCCCAGAACTACAGCATTGACATCTCTTAGGTACTTGTTAGAAATGCAAATTCTTGGGTCCTGCCACAGAGGTATGAATCAGAAATTCTAGGAACAGGACTCACAATCTATATTTTAATCTGGCCTCCTGATGATTCTGATGCACCCTCAAGTTTTGAGAACCTCTAATCTATATTATCTCCAATCTGCACAAGAATCCTATAATGTTCATCTTCCGTTTTATAAGCAACTAATTAGACTCAAAGATATGATAGGACTGCCCAGGGTCATGCAGCCAGCAAGTAGTAGAGTTGGGATTTGAACCACACTCTGGAGGCTCCAGAGCTCACAGAGCTCACAGGTCTTACCCTACAGGGGGCTCCTAATGGGGACCTCTGTCTCCAAGCACATACAAGTAGACAGCACCACTCCCATAGGGAAACATAGCTGCACAAACATGTGATATACAAGCCACCCCACCCCTCATGGCTTGCTCCTGCCCACACCTGCCTCAGGGTCTTTGTACTTGCCTTTCCTACTGCCTGAAACATACTTTCCATACATTATATCTCATGCCTGTCTCTCTCTCATATCTTGGGTGTCAGATCAAATGGCCCCTGCAGCTAAAGTAGCCCTCTCACCTCTTGACTCTGTATCCCATCACCCTTGCTGTCTCTTTCCTATAGCCATCATCCCTGTCTGAAATCGTCTTGCTCATCAGCTTTCTTTTTACTGTCTATCTTCTCCCACTACGATGTCAGCTACATGAACATAGGAACCTATTCACTGCAGCGACCTTTAGAATAATTCCTCTCTGACATGGATATTTGTTGAATGAAAAGAAATGAATGAACAATCAGGGACACATGCAGACACAGCCAGAAATAGTCTGGGTCACACTGGCAAGCAGGATTAATGAAGAAGGCCAGGTCTGGGTCCCTGTCACAGGGAGTATCACTCTCATACATACCTTCATTCAAACTCATTCTGAGCTGAATCTAGCACAGCCCAGCAGAACATGAGGCAAGGCAGCATGTGACCCAGGCTGGGGTTGGGGCAGATGGTAGCAGGTTTCTTTGTGTGCCTGGTGTGTGTGTGTGTGTGTGTGTGTGTGTGTGTGTGTGTGATGGGAAGATCACTCACCTTCATAGTGGTGGGGAATTCCTCCTTCTTCACCAGGCCTGTGGCCGCAGCAATGTTGCCAGCCCCAGAGAACACAGCTCCTCCCAGATGTGAGGCCTGCTCCTTGGTTTTCTCAGCCACTGGTGCAGGGAGGGGTTGGGGAAGGGGTTTGGGAACCAGGGTGAAGGAGGCACAGATGCCCCCTGTGCAGTATCCTGGGGCCCGCCCTCCCAATGGCACATCCCCCACAGGAGCATTGGGAGTCCGCTGCCCCTGCCCTCTGGTTCCCAGCCAGATCACAGGCTGGGGTAAGAGAATGGGGCTACCCTAGGGCTGGGCTGGTACCTGAAGCCACACCTTGTACCACCCCTTCTCGGGTCTTGCTTCCTGCAGGAAGAAAAAGGAGCGCATTTAAGGGCTCTGACCTGAGGGAACAGAAATTCCAGCACAGCACATTGGTGACAGAGTGGGCAGAGGGACCCTGGTGGCAGGGGGCATCCCAGACCCATAATGCCTCCTTGGATCCCCACATCTCATAACCCCTGCCCTCATGCTAACTCACTCTTCTCATCACCACACTGAGCCCCCCATGTTCATGTCCTCAAGACTTCTGGTTCTTTCCTGCCTGATAGAATACTCACACCCCTCTAGTGGATGTTGGCTGTGTACCAGCGCCAAACAAAGCACTTTACTCTCCCTGTTTCATTTCATCTCTCTCTAGTCCTGAGAGGCAGCTGCTGACATTTTCCTGGTTCATAGACACAAAACAAAAGCTCAAGAAGGGGCCCACAGCTAGGAAGCAACTGAACTGGCATTCAAGTTCAGATCATTATGAGTCAAAAATTTCAGCTACCAGCCACTCTAGGAGTACTCAATCCAGGATGGGAGAGGGTGGGAATGGGGTCAGTGCTGTGAGGCAACAAAGCTCTATACTTTGAAAGTTCCCAGGCTAGGCAGGCACAGTGGTTCACACCTATAATCTTAGCACTATGGAAGGCTGAGGCAGGTAGATTGCCTGAGCTCAGGAGTTCAAGACCAGCCTGAGCAAGAGTGAGACCCCATCTCTAAAAATAGCCAGGTGTTGTGGTAGGCACTATAGTCCCAGCTTCTTGGGAAGCTGAGACAAGAGGATCACTTGAGCCCAAGAGTTTGAGGTTGCTGTGAGTTACGATGCCACAGCACTCTACCAAGGGTGACAAAGTTGGACTTTGTCTCAAAAAACAGAAAGTTTCCCTGTCACCTTCACTGTATGACTGCCCACATCTCTCTAGCCCCCCCAATCTCCTCTACAGACTCTAACATGTGTAGAACCCTCCTTCTGACCAAAGTGAGGGGTGTCTTGGGTGGGACTAAAAGTGACGTGCCAATTGGGACTGGTAGCCATAGCAATGGTTGGTCCTTCCCAGGAGGGTAGCAACTTGGTCACAACAAAGTGGGGGGCTGTTGGAAAGGCCAGAGGGCCTGATCTGGGGAGTGCCTTCAAGGAGTAGGGAGTCTCAGACAACTGCTGATAGAGCCCAAAATGGGTGTCTGGGTAGGCTGAGGGTGGCGTGGGAAGACAGGGTTCTTGGTGGGGGGCTGCATGCCCTCTTTATTCCCCCCAAACCTCTTATTTGCACATGATCTGTGCCAGGCCCTGGACCACTTGCTCACTGTTTGGGGAAGGAAACAACAGAAAAGACTTAGTTCCTGGACCTCAAATTGTGGGGAGAGGATTTCCAGCCTCCAGGGGTTGTATGGATGGGGAGGGGACTCTCTAGGCCTCGGGAAATAGAGAACAGGTGGATATTAGTGAGGAGACTGGAGAGGGGATCCCAGGCTCAGAGGCCTATGCAGAGAAGGCACAGAGAGGTGTCCTCTCAGGGCCTCTGGACGCCCATAGCTATGTGTATGGTGAGAAATGTAGATAGACTCAGGCAGGATCATGAAGGGCAGTGAATGGCATGCTGTGAGGAGCTGAGGCTTTAACATGTAGGGACTAGAGGCCATGGGGGCTCCTCAGCAGGGGAGAAGGCAGGAAAGGGTTGCCAGCCTAAGGGGAAGGAGCACGTCTTAGAGGGGCGGAGTCCATAGCAAAGATAGAGTACTAGGGACTAACCTGACTAAAAGCCTTTGGGAAGGAGGCAAGGGGGAGTCCAGAGCTGGAGTCAGGCAGATTTGGGCTCAGTCCTTCTCCCAGCCTCTGTCGCCTCTGCCTTCACTGAAGTCACCCTCATCTGGGGACTATGCTGCCTCCCAGCAGGCCTCCCTGCAAATCATTCTGTCCCCAGAGGCCCAAGGGACTTTTCTAAACTGAAATCAGATCGTGACAGTCCCTTGTTTATGGTCTCTCATGGTAGTGAAAATTATGCTTTGCCCTGACCAGGCCTACGAGGGTCCCTGGTGAACCGGCTCCTGCCCACCTCTCTGATCTCATCTCCTGCAGCTGCTTCCTGCCCTCCACTCTCCAACCCACCTCAGGGCCACGGCACTTGCCTTTTCTTCATCCCCCTAGCCCCCTACTTGGTTCCTTGCCACCTCCTTGGGTAGCTCCTCTTTTCCCCCAACCCAAAATGTGGTCCCTACCCGAAGCCACTGAATGTCAAATCCTACTACTGAAATGCTCTGAATCACCATCAGGAGAGTAGGCACCTTTGCTTCCTGTTCACGGTTACTTCCCCAACATCCACATAATGCCTGGCATACCATTAAGTGGCCACCAAATATTTTTCAAGTTACCATAATCCAAGACTGCCATGGCCCTAGGCGTGATTCAGCCTGCATTGGGAATAATTACATCTACTTAACATAAGCAAGCTCTGATTCACCATGTATGGGTTTAATAAATGTCAGTTTCCAGCCTTATTTTTCTTAAATGCATGACCCTACAGGCTCAGTTCTTTCACGTTTGGGGTGAGATTTTTAACCACTTGGCCTTTGTCCTGACATTGGCTGGCAACTTCAAGAAGGGTGGATCTGGAGGAGAGATGGCAATAGAGGGACCCCAGGTACTGGAGGCCTGAAGGAAGGGCCTATGAGGGAGGAGTCATGAGGGGAGGGGTTGGGGCTTCAGAATCTATAAAGCTGGGTTCAAACTTGAGCTTCAGATTCTGCCATATGTGTGACCTTGGGCAAGGTGTTTAGACCTCTGGGAACCCCAGTTTCCCTGATGTGTAGAATGGGCTGGGAGAATTAAATGAGGTAATGGATGTTACAGCACTTTATACAGTACCTAGCCCAGAATAAGGGTTCCAGGTAGTTATTAATAGTGATACCAAGAAAAAGGAAGCTCTCTACTTTGATCCCTGCATTGGGCCCTGGCATTTCAGCTGAACTCCACTGTCACCAACCCCTACTCTGTCCCCTTTTTGCATCACAGGACTAAAGGCTTCCATCTGCGGGCTATGTCTCCAGTGACCCCTGCTGACCCAGCCCCATCTGCTGACTCATATTCTCCAGCCCAGGCCCCCTGCTCCCCAGAAGAACCCAGCCTCACACCCTTGGAGAACACCTGAGCCCCTCAACCAAGCCCCTTCCCCACCCCCCATCCCCGCCTCGCCCACCAACGTAGAGGACGCCCTCCTTGGTCTTCTCTGCTGCCTCAGTGACCCCCTGCTTGGTTTTCTCCGCGGCAGCCACAACGCCCTCCTTGGCCATGGACAGGCCCTTCATAAACACGTCCATCCTGGCGGCCTGAAGAGGGTGAACAAACGGGCACCGGTGCGTTGGCCCCGCACCCTCAGCCCAACCCCTCCGGAGGGACATGGCAGCCCCCTCCCCGCTCTCCCTGAGACTGCATTGCCTTTCTGGGCCCAGACTCCCCTCCCGCCTCGCCCCCACTCCCCCAGTGCAAGGCTTCTGGGCCGCAGAGAGTCCTAGCGTCCTTGAAAACTGGGGACGCGGGAGGGGCCACCGCCTCGGTTATCCGGGGCCCTGCAACCTGCAGCCCAGCGAAACCGGCGCACTGGCTCAGCGTGAAGACTCAGGGCTTCCTATACAAACATGACAGAGTCACACGGTCATGCACACAAACATAAACCACGAACATGCTCACGTGCACATACAGGACACGCAAATGCTCAGACGCGCATGAACACTCCAACACACACGGACGCGGGCGCGGGCTCACGTCCACACAGCCACCCAGACAGCTGCTGACACACATACTCCGGGGTGCACACTGACGCGCACCCACCGGCGCCCCCTCTCACCCTAGGCCCCTCTCCATCTTCCATTCCCTTCCTCCCTCTACCCCAGTCCCCTCTCCATCCCCAGCCAATTCCACTTCCCCACCTCACCTGGATGTGGGGCCCGGGCAGGGGATGGAGCGGTGGCTGCGGCAGATGGACGCGGGTGCTCGGCTAGGCCGTGCCGGGATGGACTCGAAGCCGATAGGGAATCGGGCCGTGGCCGGGCGCTCAGTTGCGGGCCCTGAGCAGGGTCTCAGCAGTGCCAGGTCTAGGGTGCGTCGCCCAGCCACAGCTAGTTCCTCGCGCCCTGCTAGCTTGCGCTCTCTGTTCCGGCTCCGGCGCTGCGGCAGCTCTGAGCTCAGCGCCCCCTCTGGTGGCCGCACCGCCCCTCTGCCTGACTGACAGGGGGCGGGGAGGGTGGCAGCGCGCAGCCGACCAGTCTCCCAGGGCGAGCTCCGGTCGTGCCGCTGGGGATTCCGGGGCTTGAGACTTGTGTAGTTTGTAGGGAGATGGGGGAAGAGGGACAATGTGGCGTCCTAAGAGTAGGGATGAAATAATGTGCCTGGCTTTAGGGTTGAGATGGGCTCAGATCTCAGCTTTGCTTTATTAACTGTGGGACTTGGGCTACTCAGCTTTTCTTTCCTGAATGCCAGTTTCCTCTTCTGTAAAACAAGGATGGCGAACTCAAGAAGTTTTTTGAACACTTAGACAGATGGTACAGGTCCCCCAGTTCAAGCAGGGGAAAGGACAAACAAGGTCCCTGCTCTGGGAGAGCTTGCCAGGAGAGGGTGTGTGTGTGTGTGTGTGTGTGTGTGTGTGTGTGGCTCTGTGAGGAGCTGAATGGAGCAGAGACCCCAGAGAGGTACCAAAGCCAAGATGGAGAGAGAGCAAGATCCTGCAGAGAGGGAACTACAAGTGCAAAAGCCCTGAGGCAGGACTGTGCTCAGGAACAATAAAAGGCAGAGCCAGGTGAAGGGAGGAGGAAGAGGAGGTGACCACTTTTTTCTTTTTCTTTTTCTTTTTCTTTTTCTTTTTTGAGACAGTCTCGATATGTCACCCTCGGTAGATTGCTATGGTGTCACAACTCCCAGCAACCTCAAACTCTTGGGCTTAAGTGATTCTCTTGCCTCAGCCTCCCAAGTAGCTGGGACTACAGGCGCTTGCCACAATGCCTGGCTATTTTTGTTGTTGTTGTTGTTGTTGTTGTCGTTGTTGTTTGGCAGGACCCAGGGAATTCTAACCCTCCAGCCCAACTCCTCCAGCCCCGGGGTATGTGACCAGTGCCCTAACCGTTTTATATTGTTGTAGTGGAGATTGTCAAAATGATCATAGAGTGCCAAGTATACAGTAGGCCCTTAGTTGGTGCCATGATAGTACTATGCCTGAGAAACCGCAGGATCCCAGAGGACAGGGACAATGGCAGCTTAAAGGAGTCTGGAAAGGCCATGAAGAGGAGATGACATCTGAGCTGGGGCCTTTTGTTTCCATCAGGCTGACTAGGGGGAAGGAGGAGTTTAGGCTGTGGGTATACCATGAGCAATCACACTGTGGCTAGAAATGCAGGGTGTGTAAGTGACAGGTAATGAGATGAGGGGGGAGCCTTCAGCCAGACTTTACAGGGCCTGGAGGAAACAATGTTCACAAGCCTCTGGTAGGACTGTAAATTGGCAGACTTTTCGGAAGGCAACTTGGCAATGTTATCAAAAGCATAAACGCATGCTCCTTTTGAGCCAACAGCTCCCCTTCCAGGAATTGATCCATGGATCTCTATACACACAAGAGATCTCTACACATTTGTGCAGGATGTTCACTGTAGCATGGTTTATTATAGTAAAAAAGTGAAAATAATCTAAATGACTATCTGCAGAGGACTAGCTAGTTAATTGTGGGATTTCTACCCAGTGAAATGCTATGCTGTGGTTAGAAAGGATGAACCCATGTGGGCTGACACGGGAGCATGTCAAGATATGGTGTGAAGTGGGAGAAGTAAGGAAAATTATAATTTTCTATGTATGGGAATATATTATATATTAATATATACATACTTATTACACACTATACATTACATACAAACTCCTTGTATACAAATGTGTACACAATTACTTATAGATAGATGGATATACAAAGAATACATCTGGCAAGGACTTCGAAAAAACTGTTAACTGTAGCTGCCCCTGAGAAATGGGACTGAGAGGGCTCAGGGAGGGAAGTTTTACATTCTATTACCTTCCCTCTACATGCTGTTTGATTATTTTGTTCGGGTTTTAAAAAACTAACATGGGGATTAATTTTCGGCCTCTTTGCATTGGAATTGCCACTATTGTATGCTTGGAAGACCCCCACCTTAGGAGGCCCATCTTCCCATCTAAGAGCTGACAATGACAAATACTTGCTTCCCCAGTCTTCCTTGCAGTCACCATGTGACTGACAGGTGCAGCCTCACACTCACCAGCCCCACACTAGGAACCTGAAGCTAGTGCCAGGAAGCAGCAGGGAAGTGGGGAATCTTATGTGGTATCAAGAGGTGATGTTGGTGGTGGCAACAGTAGCACTCATTCTAGAAGTACCCAGGACCAACAGGACAAGCTGCACTGTCCATGCTCAGCCATAGTGTCAAGGAAATCTCCGTGGGTCTTCAGGGTGTGTAAGTGACAGGTAATGAGATGAGGGGGCAGCCTGCAGCCAGACTTTACAGGGCCTGGAGGAAAAAATGTTCACAAGCCTCTGGTAGGACTGCAAATTGGCAGACTTTTTGGAAGGCAATTTGGCAATTTTCCAATGGAATTTGGGGCATCATTACAGGCTGTGATCTCCAAGGTGGATTCTCCGGCCATCCTGGAGAGTCTTTGAGCTCCCTAGTATTTGTTAATAAACTCACCAACTGCTTAAATCAGCCAGAAGTGATTCTGTGGCTTGAGATTAAGAGCCTCTGAATGTCAGAGTATGTGATGAAGAGAAAGCATGAAGGACCAACCAGAGAGAGTAGAGAGGAGGAAGGGAGAAAGAAAACAAGAGGAAGGGTGTCTGTATATGTCACTAAAAGAAGCACAAGAGCAACCTAATGAGATTTGCATTTTTCTGGGCAAAGAGAAAGTGAGTTGGAAAAGGAAAAGGCTGGGGTGGAAAGATCAGTAAGCAGCTGGGGCAGAGTCCACAAGAGGGATAAGAAAGCCTGAGCCAGGGAGAGATTTTGGTGTCACTGAGGAGGTGACTTATTACGTGTTGGGCAAGAGGGAAAGCCATGAGTCTAGGAAAATTCCCAGATTTCTGACTTGGATAATAGTGTGATTAATGATGCTGGAAAATGAAATAGGCATCGAGGGGGTGGAGCAGTTTAGGGGGATGACAGTGAGCTTGTTTGGAGCATAATAGACATGTGAGGAGGTGCCCTGCAGACAGTACTTTATCTGAGCCCAGAGCCCAGGAGAGTGCTCCAGACTAGTTTCAGGCAGATTCGAGTCATGGTATTCTTGGAAATACCATGGTATTCATGGTATTCTTAACAAATAGCACCAATGGCTCTCCAAGGTTGAGGTCTGAGAGGGGTTGGGGTTGGGACAGAACACCTAGATTTGTAGAGTTTGTCAATAGCTGTAGTATAAATACTCCCACCATGGTCAATTTCAACCTATCAGTGTGATATCACTGAACAAAGAATTGGTTCAATTCTATAGTATTTTCACAATACAGATAATATAGATAAAAATAAACCTAAGGGATTTATTAGTGGTAAAATAATTAGGAAGTTATACATTTTCAGTATTTATCATCTTTGGGTTTGTTTGTTTGTTTATTTTGTTTTCTTCTTTCAAGGCAGAGTTTCATCCTGTCTCTCAGGCTGGAGAGCCGTGGCACAATTAAAGCTCTCTGCAACTCCAATTCCAAGGCTCAAGTGATCCTCTCACCTCAGCCTCCTGAGTAGTTGAGACCACAGGAATGTGCCATTACACCTGGCTAATTTTCATATAATTTTTTGTAGAGACGGAGTATCACCATGTTTCCCAGGCTGGCCTCCTACTCCTAGTCTCACATGGTCCTACCACCTTAGCCTCCCAAAATATTGTGATTACAGGCATGAGCCACTGTGCCCAGCCAGATTTAATTTTTAATAGTGGCCTTAACAACTGGTTTGCAAAATTCTTAAAACTTTAACAATCATTCTCATGAGCCAGGCCGAAGCAGATCAGTACTACTGGGTTTTATGTCATTAGCAGAGAGAGGGGGATAGAGTCGTAGGGATGGGTGCAATTATCCAGGAGTACGTGGAGAGTGAAAAAAAGAGAGGACCCAGGACAGAATTTCGAGGGGTGGCAGGAGGCAGAGGGGTGGGGAAGAACTGAGAAGGCAGACAGAGAGGGGGAGAAGCTAGAGAGAGTGGTAGCTCACAGACCTAGAAGCCACAGGGATAACTGTTAGACCAGAGGAGATGAGTGGTGAAGAGTCCTCAGTTGGCAGTAAGTGCTCTGTTGGGCCTTAACATCACGAGCTCAAAGAGGAAAAAGGCATCAAGGGAAAGCTTCCAGGAGAAAGTATCATTTAAGTCAGGTTTTAAAAGAGGAGAAAGACCTTACAAGTGGTGGTGAGCATTCCCACCAGAGGATCTGGCAGGTGGAAAAGTCCAAAGTGCTGAGGTAATAAAAAATAGGTTAAATTCTGAGTCAAGTTCATTTGGCTGCTAGCACAGGTTAGGCAAAGCAGGCATTTATTCTTTCATTCAAAAAAGTCCAGTGATAAAGATAAGCTGTCTACAGTTGGTGAGATGACCTCACAGCCATCAGGAACCCTGACTCCTACCTTTCTGATGCACCATTCTTAGCATAGGAAGTTCATCTTCAAATTCACCTCATAGTCCAAGATGGCTGCTACAGCTGCAGTCATCATGTCTATGCAGACAGACCTCAGGAGGAGAGAGGGAAACAGGGTAAAATGCCAGTTGTCTGTCTCTTTCTTAAGGAATTTCCCCAGAAGACAATAGCTTGCGTTTCTCTCTTCATGGTTATCCCTAGCTTCAGAGAAGGTAGAAAAGTCTGGTTATTTAGCTGGGTATATGACTTCCCAGAATAAAAGTGTAAGAAAGGTTGCTGAGTGAGCCACTAGCATCTCTGTTCTATTACTATTTATTTTTTCCTCTAATTTTATTATTTAAAAAAATTTCAAACTAAAAATTGAAAGAATGGTACAATGAACACATGAATAACCTTCACCTAGATTCACCAGTTGTTAACCAACTGAAGAGGGTAAATGCCCTCTACATTTTCTTCGTCTCTCCCCATATGTGTTATCCACAGAGGGAGGGGGCATGGATCCTGGGCCTTCATTTTCTTGCATGCTGAATTCTTTCCCCATGTTATTTGCCCCCACCCTTTAGGGCGTG